CCAGGGTACAACAAGTGGTCTGTATTCGCTTGGAGCAACAGAGGAAGAAGGAGAGTCAGGAAGGAGGAGGAAATGGAATGTGTGGCTAATGGCCTCCGTGCACAACTGCCTTCTTTACCATGAGACCAGAAGAACTGGATGGTGCCTGGCTACCATTACTGAATGTTTTCATCAAGGATTCTAGAGAGGAATCCTGATCAAAAGGGAGAAATGTGGAACAGAATTTCAGATTCTCATGAAATTCAGAATTTCTGGAGCCATGGCAGCTGGATGAACCCCTGAAGCTATTGCCCTGAGATAATCTTTAAACCTTAAACCAAAAATATCCCCTCCAGTCTTCTTTAAAGCAAGCAATGGCTTACTTAGTAAAGAGTATCTGCCTTGGACAGCTGGGATCAGATTGACAATAGCAGCTTGAAAGATTAGCTAGGAACCTTAGGGGGCAATGACTTTATGTCACTGGGGAAGGAACAACTCAGAAAAGGAGGGTGAGAATGGCTGCACAGCTCTGAGAATGAAATCAGTGTTACTGAAATGTACGGGTGGGAACTGCTGGTGTATCCTCTGCCGTGTATGTTCCCAACAACAACAAAAGTAATAAATTATTAAAACAAGAAAAAGGAAGGGGCCAGCATGACCACTTAGAAGCTGAGTTAGCAAGAGAAAAAACTCAGACCATGAAGCAGGTATATGAAAAGGAGAAGATTCCACTTACCTTTTTTTCTTCTTACAAAGCCTACATCTCTTGAAGAGAACAGTGGGACGGTGCTGTTGTGGAGGAGCAAGGGGTAGGAGTTTGTTCCTGTGGTGAGAGCAGGATAAACCCTTTTCACAGATGGGTCTGCTCTTTCTAAAAATTTATTATGAAATACCTTGAACTTGCACAAACTCACAAAGAGGAATATAATGACTGTCCATGTATTTACCACCTGGCTTAAGAAACAGCTGGAGCCCTGGTGGCGCAGTGGTTAAGAGCTGCAGTTGCTGACCAAAAGTTCAGCAGTTCTAATCCGATAACTGCTCCTTGGAAACCCTGTGGGGCAGTTCTACTCTGTCCTATAGGGTCACTATGAGTTGGAATTGACTCGACAGCAACAGGTTTGGTTTGGGTTTTTAAGAAACAAAACATTACTAGCACAGCTGAAGCCTGTAGACCATTATCCTGATTTGGGGCTGATCATTCTCATACAGTGTTTTCTGGTTTTGCATCATAGGGATATGTTGTTGTTGTTAGGGGCAGTCAAGTTGGTATCGACTCACAAGGACCCCATGTGACAGAGTAAAACTGCCCCATAGGGTTTTCTAGGCTGTAACCGTCATAGAAACCCAAACCCATTGCTGTTGAGTTGATGCTGACTCATAGTGACCCTATAGGACAGAGTAGAACTGCCTCATAGGAGTTCCAAGGCTGCAAATCTTTAAGGGAGCAGACTGCCACATCTTTCTCCCGTAGAGTGGCTGGTGGGTTTGAACCACTGACCTTTCGGTTAGCAGCTGAGTGCTTTAACCACCGTGCATCTCAGGCTCCTGTGTTATGTTAATGAGGCCATATCAGCGTAGGGTTGTTTTAAGCCAGTCACCTTTGAGATATAAGAAAGCAGATTAGACACAGAGATGGAAAGACAAACAGAAGAGAAGATAGATGCCACATGAACGTCGCCAAAGAACTGAGGAACAGAAGCTGAAAAGAGGCAAGAACCTTCCCCCAGAGCCCACAGAGAGAGAAAGCCTTCCCCTTGAGCTGGTGCCCTGAATTTGGACTTCTAGCCTCTTAAGGAGCCCTGGCGGTGCAGTGGTTAAGTGCTTAGCTCCTAACTGAAAGGTTGGCTGTTAGACCCCAACAGCAACTCTGTGGGGGTAAGACCTGGCAATCTGCTCTTGTAAAGATTTACAGCCTAGGAAACCCTATTGGGCTGTTCTACTCTGTCTCATGGGGTCGCTATGAGTCGGAATCAGCTCGGTGGCACCCAACATCACCAGCCTCCTAAACTGAGAAAATAAGGTTGTGTTTGTTAAAGCTACCTGCTTGTGGTAATTCTGTTATAGCAGCACTGGGAAACTGAGACAGACCATTTTGGATTATTTTAGGATCTAAAGGTCTCACAGTGGAGCTGTTAGCTCCCTGAATTTTTCGGTAAGTGAATGAATGAATGGAACTATAGAACTATCGGACAGTTATATTTGTTGTTGTTGTTGTTAGGTGTTGTCAAGTTGGTTCTGACTCATAGTGACCCTGTGTACAACAGAACTAAACGCTGCCTGGTCCTGCAGCATCCTCACAGTTGTTGCTATGTTTGAGACCATTGTTGCAGCCACTGTGTCAGTTCATCTCATAGAGGGTCTTCCTCTGTTTTTTTTTTTTTTAATTGTACTTCAGGTGAAGGCTTATAGAACAAATAGTTTCTCATGAAACAGAAGTACACATGTTGTTTTATGACATTGGTTAACAACCCCACAACATATTAACCCTCTAACTTCTCAACTTTTTTTTTTTTTGGTGAAAATACACATAGCCAAAGATACACCATTTCAAAAATTTCTACATACACAGTTCAGTGACATTGACTACGCTCTTCCAATTGTGCTGTTATTCTCACTTAAGATGAAGGCTTACAGAACAACATAGTTTCCCGTTTAACAGTTACTACAAATGTTGCCCTATGACAATGCTTAACAATCTCACATCAACAATATCCTTACTCAACCTTGGGTTCCCTATCACCAGCTTCCTTGTCCCCTTCTGCCTTCTGGCCCTTGTCACTGGACTCCTGTACCTCGTTAGTCTCATTTGGTTTTATGGGGCTGTCCACTCCCAGGCTGAACAGTGAACCTCGGAGGTAGCTTCACCACTGAGCTAAAAGGGTGTCTGGGGGCCATACTCTCGAGGTTTCTCCAGTCTCCTTTAGGCCAGTAAATCTGGTCTTTTTTTTGTGAGTTAGAATTATGCTCTACATCCTTCTCCAGCTCTGTCCAGAACCCTCTGTTGTGATCCTGGTCAGAGCAGTCAGTTGTGGTAGCCGGGCACCATCTAGCTGTACTTGACTCAGTCCGGTGGAGGCCTTGGTAGCTGTGGACAATTAGTCCTTCAGACTAATCTTTTCCTTGTATCCTGTTCTCTTCATTCTCCCTTGCTCCTGAAAGGATCAGACCAGTGGAGTATCTTAGATGGCCGCTGACAGGCTTTTAGGGTCTTTCTCTTTTTCACTGACCCTCTACTTTACCAAGCATGATGTCCTTCTCCAGAGACTGGTCTCTCCAGATAACATGTCCAAAGTATGTGAGTCGAAGTCTTGCCATCCTTGCTTCTAAGGAGCATTCTGGAAGAAACATTCTTCTTCCGAGACAGGCTTGTTCGTTCTTCTGGCAGTCCACAGTATACTCAATATTCTTCGCCAACACCATAATTCAAAGGCATCAGTTCTTCTTTGGTCTTCCTTATTCATTGTCCAGCTTTCACATGCATAAGGGGATTGAAAAATACCATGGCTTAGGTCAGGTGCACCTTAGTCCTTAAAGTGACATCTTTGCTTTGTAACACTTTAAAGAGGTCTTCTGCAGCAGATTTGCCCAATTAAATATAATGGAATAAAATTAAAAGCAAATTAGCATCCCAGAACTGAGAGGTTGAACTTCGTGGTTGGGGGGACTTCCCCACATCCATCTGCTGTAAGCCTGGCTGGAGGCTACAATTTATGTGACATCTGCTTCCTGCTAGCACCCGTCTGGTGTGCTGACATTGGTTGTTTCTTTACCTGGGGAGGCTAACGCACTTCTCCACTGTGCTGCCCTGAGCCTTGACGGTGAGCGTCCTTCCCTGGCGGGGGCGGTGTGACATCCTAGGATTTCCTCCCGACTCGCCATTGTCAGAAGCTGACTGCTTTGAGGCGTGTCTCCGGTGGGCTGGCAGATCCTGCCTGTGTTGTCCCAGATGGGTTTCTGCAGCGTTTCGTGCAGAAGTACGGCTGCTGTTTTCCTGGAGATAACACTTAATCCTGGCCAGGCGCCTTGTGGGGTGTGGGGAGGATTGCTGAGTTATTTGCCAGCCCTGTGAACTCCTGGGACGTAGGCAGTTATTGTAGAGTGTCGCCTTGTCGTGGTTTTTCAGTACTGCCATCACAAAAATACCACAGAGTGGGTGGCTTTAAAGAACAACCTTTTTTTTTTTTTGTCTTACAGTGTTGCAGCCTAGAAGTCCAAATCAGGGCACCAAGCTCTAGGGGATATTCCCTGTGGGTAGCCCCCCTCAGCGTCCCTTGGCATTTCTCGGTCTCTTCCCCCGTGTGTTCTTTCTGTGTCTGTACCCCCTTTTATAAGACACTACTCAGTAGCAGCCCTGGTGGCATAGTGGTTAAGCACTCAGCTGCTAACCAAAAGGTTGGTGGTTTGAACCCACCCATCGGCACTGGTGGAGAAAAGACCTGGCGATCTGCTCCCGTAAAGATTACAGCCTAGAAAAACCTATGGGGCAGTTGTGCTCTGTCACATGAGGTCGCTATGAGTCAGAATCAACTTGTCAGCAGCCAACAACAACGATAACAACAACAGCAGGGAGGCTCGTGTGCTCTCGACATTTCCATACTTCTGCCCATTTACACCCATCCTCTCTGACGGATGCTCCGATGCAGGAGCAAATGCAGTTTGTTACTGGTGACTTGGTCTCATACCAAACCAAGCCAAACCCGTTGCCCCATCGAGTCGATTCCAACTCATAGTGACCCCATAGGACACAGTAGAACAGCTCCATAGGGTTTCCAAGGAGTGGCTGGTGGATTCAAACTGACAACCTCTGGGTTAGCAGCCCAGCTCTTAGTACAGTGAGCTTATTTACTTGCTAACTTGCTAGGAAGGATGTTTGGAAGATCAGTTGGAGAAAAGACTTTTGCTGACGAGTTCATTGCCTGAAGGCTTGCCTCCTCGCTGATGTTTTTTCCTTGCTTTCAAGTATATTTTAGTAGTGGCTAAGAACGAAATACTTCAGAACTCTTCTTGTTTTTTTCTAGATTTAAAAAGAATTGTCTTTGTCATCCAGAGCCAAAGTAATTCTTTTCATGCAAAGAGAGCAGAGCAGTTGAAGGAAAACATCTTACAACAGGCGGCAGCTCTTACCCAGGTATGTAGGGATGGCTTGGGATGTCTACTAACTTTCTTTCTTTATACATTTCTATTTTCCGAAGCACTCAGTCTGTAGAGAATCAGTGTTTATTAGATTAGAGAAACTGCTGACTCATTTTGCTTATTTATTGACTATTTATTGCTTAAAATGCTCTATTTAATTTCTAATGCTAGAGACGTCATATTCTAAATTATATGTATTTTTAAATTTAACACTTGTACGATTATGTGGGACTGTCATGGTTTTCGGAGCCCTGGTGACGCAGTGGTTAAAGCACTCGGCTGCTAACCAAAAGGTCGGTGGTTTGAACCCACCAGCAACTCAGTGGGAGAAAGATGTGGCAGTCTGCTCTCGTAAAGATTACAGCCTAGGAAACCCTATGGGACAGTTCCGCTCTGTCCTGTAGGGTCGCGATGGGTCGCAATCGACTTGACGGCAGTGGGGTTTGTTTGGGATCATGGTCTTATCATAAAGTATGATCAAAAGAAGTGGAAGAAATAACTTTTTAAAGGCAGGTTTTAAAATGGTGTAGATAATTAGTGTTCAGAATTTCTGTAACAGTTCTAAGTTAGGTTTCATGTTGAAAAAACATTCTCATTAACCTTCGAGCAGCGCTTCCTTGAGTGTTTAATGTGTTTTTAATTGCATATTGTTAATGAACTTTGTAGTTTGATTTATCATGTAATATCTGAGACAGATGATGGAGAGAAAAATCTAAGGATACAGGTACATTTTCATAATGCTTAAAACAGGCATGAAGTGAATCTGAAGCTGCTCTGAGTAATGCTGGAGGCTTGGTGTGGGGAGAAGGAAGATCTGTGTTTTTGTACTACCCTAAAGGAGCCCCGGTGGCACAGTGGTTACCTGCTCGGCTGCCAACCCAGAGATTGGCCATTTAAGCCCACCAGCTGCTCTGTGGGAGAAACACCTGGTGATCTGCTTCCATAAAGATGACAGCCTTGGAAACCCTATGGGGCAGTTCTACTCTGTCCTGTAGGGTCGCTGTGAGTTGGAATCGACTCAACAGCACTGGGTTTGGTTTGGTTTTTTATAGATGCTTTAAGGAACTCTGGTGGCGCAATAGTTAAGCTCTCAGCTGCTAACTGAAAAGTTGGCTGTTTGAACCCACCCAGAGGCTCTGCAGGAGGAAGACCTGGCAATCTGCTCCTGTAAGGATTACAGTCTAGAGAACCCTATGGGGCAGTTCTGGTCTGTCACATGGGGTCGCTATGAGTTGGAATCGACTTGGCCGCAAGTTAACAACAGCAACAACAGAGGTACTTTGGAGTTTCTGGGTGGTGTAAACGATTAATGCCCTCAGCTGCTAAACTAAAGGTTGGCAGTTAAGTTCACCCAGAGGTACCTCAGAAGAAAGGCCTGGAAATCTACTCCTGGAATATCAGCCATTGAAAACCTTACGGAGCAGACAGGATGGCGCCATGAGTTGGAATCACCTCCACATCAACCTTTTATAGGTGTTTTCTTCTTTAGCCTAATTAAAATGACAATAGCAGAAACCCCTCCAGGCGGCTGTGCTACATTGCCGTGCCCTTCAAGACAGAGGTGCTTGTCTGTAGATAGGTGCCACCAGGCCTCCTCCTCACGTTAAGAGTCTCAGCGGTTTTCTTCTTCCATTGAAACCGCAGAGGTCAGGGAGAGGGATGGGAGACAAAACTTGGTATGAACTGGTGCCGGGCAACTTCGACCTAATGACTAAGGGGAACTTTCAGAGGGAATACGGAAAAGAATGAGAAGAAGGTAGTATAGAATCCTGGGTTAGTTCTCTCATCTGCCAAAGTACTGATTCACTTGGCTACTTTAACACAAAGGAGCCCTGGTGGCGCAGACAGTTAAGCGCTCCACTGTTAACTGATAGTCACTAGTTCGAACCTGCCCAGTGGCTCTGCGGACGAAAGACTTGGTGATCTGCTTTCATAAGGATTACGGCCTAGGAAACCCTGTGGGACAGTTCTCCTCTGGCACATGGGGTCACTATGAGTTGAGAACGACGCAGCGGCACCCTACAACAACACTTAACACAGAGCGGATAACAATGATGTCAGGAGGACAGAAGGTTTACTTCCCTTCACAAAACAGCCCGGTTGGTGGGCGGGTCAGGGCTGGGCTGCTTTGCTCTTGGTTTCTCTTTCTTGTTACTTCACAGTACACTGCCGTGTCTTCTCATCTGCATCTCTCAAGTTGGTTTTCCACCATTACACGTGCATGGCAGCGTGTAGGGGACATGCAGCTTCCTTTGCAGGATGTGACCTGGAAATTGTACACATCGCTTCCCCTCACATACCATTGTCCAGAACGTCATCGTGCAGACACACCTAGGCTTGGCAATGTACTATCTAGTTGGGTGACCATGGGTCAAACCGAAACTCAAGGAGTTACTAGAAGGAAGAAGGTAGGAATGGATACTGGGGGACACACTGATCTCTCTGCTAAGGTCAGGGTTTTGTTTACATGTTGAGGATTCACTTAGTCTGTGGATGAATTTATCTTATGAACCACCCACCCATCCGTCCGTCCGTCCATCCGCCCGCCTGCCCGCCCGTCTGTCCACCACCCCCACCCCTCCACCCACCCCACCCAATATTTACAGAAAACCTACTACGCAAAGTACTGAGGATGCAAAGATAAATAAGGCATAGTCCTGTTCTTAAACGACCCCCCAGTCCAGGAGAGGAGACCGGCACATCAGCAGGCCATGTTAGAGCAGTGAGGTGGAAGTGTAGTGATCGAGGGGTGCACATGGATCCCAAGGAGGGCACTGACATGGGAGTTGGCGGGGGCAGGCACTGGGGAGGGGAGATGGTGCTCAGGGAAGGATTTCTGAGAGCTGCATCCTGAACCGAGTCTACAGGTTAGGTTCTAGCTAAGTTGAGGATCTTAGAAGAAATATAACCGGAATGTTCCTTGGAAGAGAGAATGGCAAGACTTTGTCTAATGTACGTTGGATGTGTTATCAGGAGGGACCAGTCTCTGGAGAAGGACATCATGCTTGGTAAAGTAGAGGGTCAGCAAAAAAGAGGAAGACTCTCAACGACATGGATTGACACGGTGGCTGCAACAGCGGGGCTCAAACATGGCAACGATGGTGAGGATGGTGCAGGACCAGGCAGTGTTTTACTCTGTTATACACAGGGTCGTTAAGGCTTGGAGCTGATACCACAGCACCTGACAGCAACAACAGGTTGAGGATCTTAGAAGAAATACAACCAGAATGCTCCTTAGAAGTGAGGATTTGGGAGGACTTTTTCTCGCTTATTTTGGACATGTCATTAGGAAAGGCCAATAGCCAGTAAAGGATATCACGTTTGGTAAAGTAGAAGGTTAGCAGAAACGAGGAAGACCCTCAACAAAGATGGATTGACACAGTAGTTACAACAGTGGGCTTAAACATATCAGTGATCATGGATGTGGCTCAGGACTGGACAGTGTTTCGTTCTGTTGTACATGAGGTCACCGTGAATTGGAGCTGACCCAACGGCACCCAGCGACGGGCTGAGGTGGGAGGTGGGGAGGCTTTAGATCAAGAGGACCTTATGGGTCAGGGTGGTGAGGGGACAGGCATGGGCGCAGTGTGTGCAGGTCACCGCAGGCTGTCCTGTCCTGACTTTGGGGGAGCAAGAGAGAGGCAGGCAAGTCTGCAGAGTTAGGCGATATGTGATCCCAGAGAAACTTGTGTGTTTCCTTGAGGAGTCAAGGTTTCTCAGGGGATGCTGCTGGCATTTTGAGAGCTTTGTCTTTGATTTACGAGACATTTAGCATTCTGGCCCCTGGCACTAAATGTAGGAGCAACTCCTAGACCTTGTTACAAGTCAGAATGCCTCTTGGTTGAGAGTTACTGCTAGGGAGAGCTGTAGGGGGTAAAGCTGGTTGGATTTGAAATTTAAAACCATCACTCTTGTGACTGACTGTGAAGGGGATAGCTTTAAGAGAGCGAGGACATGCAGGAAGTCCACTTCTAAAACTGTCAGACTTGTCTAGGGCAATGCCACTCAAAGTGCGGGTCTCAGATCGCTGCTGGTTGGCCGGCAGAAACTGGTCCCTTACCACAGGTGAGAAGCACTGGGCTGGGGAAGGAGTCCCTGGGTGGTGCAAACGGTTAACGTGCTCGGTGGCTAACTGACAGGTTGGAGGTTCAAGTCTACCCAGAGGCACCTCAGAAGAAAGGCTGGTGATCTACTTCAGAAACATCAGCCATTGAAAACCCTATGGAGCACAGTTCTGCTCTGACACACATGGGGACACCATGAGTTGGAGTCAGCTTGACAGCAGGTTGTTGGTTGGGCTGGAGATGGGGTCACGGGCCTGAGCGGGATGGTGGTGGTTGTGGTGAAGAGCTGGGCAGAATGGCGAGAGATTGGATGTGGGGCTGGAAGAGCAGTCATAAGCAGGTCCAGCTCAGACTGACGTGTGGAAGCGCCACCCTCTGAAGCCGAGGGCAGGGGCAACAGGTTTAGAGGGTGAAGATGATGTCAGGTTTCCATATATCAGACTTAAGGGGGAGGTGCCAGTAGCAGGAGGCCGGGTATTTGTTTTAATCTCAGGCACGGTTTGACCAAAAGCTGATTAGACTGGGGTAAAACCAGTTGTCATCGAGTTGACTTCAGCTCATGGTGACCCTATGCGTGTCAGAGTAGAACTGTGCTCCATAGGGTTTTCAGTGGCTAATTTTTTTTGAAGTAGATCACCAGGACTTTCTTCCGTGGTACCGCCAGGTAGACTCAAACCGCCAACTGTTCGGTTAACAGCGAGTGTGTTGATTGTTTGCACCACCCAGGGACCCAGTAGACATGGGTAGCTGTTGACAGTTTGAGTGCTGCATCCAGGGAGAGGAGAGGAATCAGGGAAGAGCAGTGTGCTGGGCTTTGCAGAACGAGGGGAGCCCCTGTGGGAGCAGGAGACGTGTGCAGGGGTGCGAGGTGTGATGTCAGGGAACCTCAGGGAGTAGTGTCCAGTAGTGACCAGTAATGCTGTATTCCCGA